TTCGTGTGAGCCGCACAACACAGGACAGAGATCCTAGAGAAAGAACAAGAGAACAAGGTGAACGCCACAGCCGTCCCAGCTGGCTGCCTCAGGAGAGTCTCCAGGCCACACGACAGACAGAGGCAGCCCACGAGGAGCCCACTTATCACCCTGAGGTGAGTGGATGGAGCTGGAAGGCCAAGGAGGCTACGGTTAGAGTCCTGGAGAGGAGACAGCTGCGAATAGAGTTCTAGAATCTTCAGCAGTGTACTGGCCAGCACCTGTGTGTATGAAGAAACCACCTGAAGCTGGGGAAAGGGCCACCTGAATGCATTAGAGGGAACCACGTCTGGAGGTCCCATGGGGCCAGACTAGTTTCTGTGTCCACTGCCCAGAGTGGAAAATGTCGTAACTCGCAGGACATCACGTACTCAGAGGGATATTGCCTCAGGAGAGGGGATTAATTAGTCTTAGCCTAAAGGCTGCTCTGATCCCACTTGAAGCTTAAGAGCAAGCCTCAAAAGAAACAAATTGTTTCCAAGTAACTTAACCATATCCCAGAATAAAGCTCAAGAATGTTTATAGGAATACAAAAGTATGTAGTACCCATTAAAGTAAAATTTGCAACGTGTGGCATCTAATAAAAAATTACCAGGCATGCAAAGAAAAGAAAATATGACCCACAATGAAGAAAATCAACGGAAACAGATCCAGGAATAAAACAGATGATAGCATTACTAGACAAGGACATTCAAACAGTTATTAAAACTATATTCCAGGGGCGCCTGGGTGGCTCAGTTGGTTGGGCGTCCGACTTCGGCTCAGGTCATGATCTCACGGTTTGTGGGTTCGAGCCCCGCATCAGGCTCTGTGCTGACAGCTCAGAGCCTATGTCGCATTCTGTGTCTCCCTCTCTCTCTGCCTCTCCCCTGCTCATGCTCTGTCTCAAAAAAAAATAAATAAATAAACATTTTAAAATTTAAAAAAAAACCTATATTCCAGATGTTCAGGAAGGTAGAGGGCACATGTGGAATGAGAATGGGACTATACTGGGTGTCACCAATGGGTGGCCAATTTGAAGGTGATGTAACTGTTAGTTCAGAGACTGCACACTCCTACCTAATGACTCGGTCTTTCCATCCCTCTCTATCTATAAGTAACATTCCATCATACAGCATGTTCCTTCTGTAGTACGTCTTAGAGGAAAATACCTTACAATTTTTCAATCATCCTATGAAGTCCACCTCACCAGCTTACTCATTACATATACTTAAAACATTCTATGAGTTTCACCTATATTTCATTTTATTTTTTTTTAAGATTTTTTTTTATTTATTTCTAGGAGAGAGAGAGAAAGATAGCGTGAGCAGGGGAGGGTCAGAGAGAGAGGGAGTCACAGACTGAAACAGGCTCCAGGCTCTGAGCTGGCAGTCAGCACAGAGCCCGACGCGGGGCTCGAACCCACGAACCGCGAGATCATGACCTAAGTGAAAGTCGGACGCTCAACCGACTAAGCCACCCAGGCGCCCCTCACCTATATTTTATACAACAGTATTTTACATAGAATCTGTTCTTAATACTACTTAGGAGTTTCGTCCACCTGGTTTGCTTTTTTGTATTGTATGGCAGATTACAATAATCTATGTCCATGCAGTATTTATAGCATCTATACCCAAACGTATCTGTCTCTAGCCATATTCATATCTGTCTCTCCGTGTCTGCATCATGACAGCAGGTACGTTGGCCGTGTTGTTCACGATGCTATCCTCAGCACCAAGGACAGTGCCTGATGCATAATAGGAGCTCACTAAATCTTTGCTGAATTACTGTATATGTTAAAGCTTTCCTAACAAATACATACAGTATTATGCAACATGACTGTCTTTTGTCACTATCTGCTCTTGGTTCTTGGGTACAATGAAAAAAGTAATGAAGCTGCCTCTGAAATGGTAACTAAAATATTTTTTTACAACACTGAACGAGTCAAAGTTTGACCACAATTTGGATGAATAACCAGCCTAAAATAAAATAAAGGAAATGAGAAAAATGCCTAGGTTTAATCTTTGTTCTAGTCCAAATGACATCTCTGCATTAGGGCAAAGTCGCTGCCAAGACATGCACTTCGTAACGAACAGGCAGGGGTAAGAACCAAACAACTATTCAATTAAACAGAAGAGACTAATCTGGCATCTTGTAATTTTCTCAGTGTGTCTGGGGGTGGGAGGCAGGAAGGACACCAGGAAAAGGGACCGGGGGCATGTTTTGGGTGTGCAAATTACTGGAGACAGTGAGAAAGTGCACTGTGTCCACCAGCTGTGCAGAAGTTATTTGTTAGCTAGGTAAATTCTGGGTTCTTTACCCAGCAGGGTTTATGTTTAGAGGAAGGTAGTATTCAAGCCAGAATTCACAACCCCTGTGACTCTTATTCTGTCAGCAAGGCCCCAGTGAGAGCTGGAAAGAGCGCAGGAAAGTTGAAGTGGTGGCAACAGCAAGACACTGGCAAGTGATTGTGAAATGGGCATCTTTTCTCTTCTGAAGGCTGTGCCAGTCATTGGAATAATCTCAGTTAAACTGGCACATTAGGAAAATTACTATTATTATGCATTACAAGACTATAAGGAGAATGTGTCCATCATATTTTTTAAAAGCTCGGAACAGAGGCGTTGAACATTTTCCCTCGCTTCCCTCTTCCCAGTGTTGGTCTGTGCGTTTTTACAGATCTCCTCAGAGCCCATTTCCCATTCATTGGCTACAAAAGAGGGTGCACACTGATGTCACTTGTTGAAGTTCCTAATTTCTGCCAAGACTGGAATTAAGGCAGGATTTCTTTAAAGATTTATTCCAGCACTTTCTGCTTTCTTTTGGGGGTGGGGTGGAGGCATGGACTGTATTATTACTGAAACATGAAGAGAAGCCAGAGCATGATCTTGTAGGGTAAGCCCCATCCCGCTTTCGTCAAGATGGCTTGTGAAGTGCTACAAAAGACACCATCAAGAAAGGGAAAAGAGCGGGAGACAATATTTATAAATCCCATATCTGGATAAGGGACTTATGTCCACAATATATAAAGAACTTTTAAAACTCAATAATAAAGACAAATACCCAGTTTAAAAATGAGCAAAGGATCTGAATAGACATTTCTCCAAAGAAGTTATACAAACACCAAGTGAGCACATGACAAGATGCTAAACCTCACTGGTCATTAGGGAAATGTAAATCAAAATCACGACACGAATGCAAAATCATAGCACAAATGCAAATCAAAATTACAACCACGTCACCCCCACCGGGATGGCTTTCATCAAAAAGACAACAAATGTTGGTGACAGCATGGAGAAACTGGAACCCTCCTATGCTCTTGGTGGGAATATGAAATGATGGAGCCACTTTGGAAAATAGTGAGTTTCTCCAAAGATTAAGCATGTCATGTGATCCAGAAATCCCAGTCCTAGATATAGATCCGAGACAAATGAAAACCTCTGTCCACACTTTGTGTGATTCCATACAGATGACATGTCCAGAATAGGTAAATCTATAGAGACAGAAAGTAGGTTGGTGATTGCTTAGGACTGAGGGGTGTTGGGGGAGTGGGGAGTGACTGCTAATGGGATTTTGTCGGAGGAGGGGGACAGGTGATGAAAATGTTCTAAAACTGAGTGTGGTGATGGCTGCTTACCTCTGTGAATATACTAAAAGCCACTTAAATGGGTGAATTGGATGGTGTGTGAATTATATCTCAATAAAACTGGTATTAAAACTGAAAACCCGGAGCACCTGGGTGGCTCAGTCGGTTAAGGGGCCGAATCTTGATCTCATCTCAGGCCTCGATCTCAGGGTCATGAGTTCAAGCCCTGCCTTGGGCATGAAGCCTACTTTAAAAAAAAGAAAGAAAGAAAGAAAGAAAAGCCCAAACCGCAAAACCCTGTTACAGCATCAGGGGCATCCTGTCTTTTAAATACTAGTACTACCTGTGGTGGTAATACTACATTTCATATTGGAGCCTAAAATCGTGAGGCAGGTAAGTTCTAGGGTAAAGATCCCTTTGGGTTCACAGCATTTCATAGGTCAGGCAGGCATCCTACTTGGAGTCTATTTTCCAGGCATACAAAATTTGTGGCTAGTGCATTCTGTTGCTTTGTCAAGGTCACGGTGAAAGGAGGAGCAGGCCTGCAGGACTGGGCTTGGGAGGGCCATGGTGGCTCAATCAGTTAACCCTCCCACTTCGGCTCAGGTCATAATCTTGGGGTGAGTGAGTGAGAAAGACCCTCATTGGGCTTTGTTTTGACAGCTCAGAGCCTGGAGCCGGCTTCAGATTCTGTCTCTCTCTCTCTCTCTCTCAAAAATAAAAAATAAACAATTTTTTGTCATGCTCTTGGCAACTGGGCAATTTTTTGTCATGCCCTTCGCAAGTGGAAACAATGAGTACAAAATGGAGACATTTATTTATCTTTCAAAGTCAGAGGCGTTTTAAATAACCATCTTCTCATCTCAATTCTGAGTTAAAAGTACCTCTGTGTTCAGTTTGAAATTGAATATTTACCTCCAACCAGCGCTTTGAAAGAGTTTTTGCTCTGCTTGAAAAGCTTCAAATCGTTTTGAGGGAAACAAAAATGGGACTCCTAAGGTCCGTCAGCCTGGAGGGACGGCAACAACCGAAGCCTGAAATTGACGAGTCGGCCCTCCTCGGGGCGCTGCCCGGGGGAGGCGGCTGGGGGCGCCCTGCCAGCTCCTGCCCCGCCGCTCTTCCCAGAGCCACCCCCTCCGCCCTCCGCTCGTCCTGACGTCCCACGCCCCCGCCTCCCTCTCCCCAGCCTTCAAAGGGCGCCTGGGGGCTGCGAGGCTGGAGCTTCCGTCTGCAGCCCCGGGGCCTTGCATTCACCTGCCAGCCGCGGGGCCGCGGGCGCGTGCGGGCTCTTCCGGTTCCCGCCCCGCGCCCCCAGGAACAGGTGCCGGGACTGCTTGCGGGCCCCCTAGCCGCACGCGCGGAGGTGGGACCAAGGAGAGGCAATCAGGGCGGCCCCATGGAGAGCCGCGGCGGGACTCCCCCGGCTGGGGCGTTTGGGGCGGCGGCTGAGTCACCACAGTGCCCGCTGCCGCCGGGGGCCGAGGGCATGGCGGAGGCGGCGGAGCCCGACGGGGCGGCCGAGGGCGCTGGGAGCGGCAGCGGTGGCGAGGACGGGGCCGCGCCGCGGCGGGCTCTGCGGACAGTGTACGTGCGCAGCGAGAGCTCCCAGGGCGGCGCGGCGGGCGGCCAGGAGGCGGGGGCGCGGCAGTGCTTGCTGCGGGCCTGCGAGGCCGAGGGCGCCCACTTCACCTCTGTACCGTTCGGAGAGCTTGACTTCGGGGAGACGGCTGTGCTCGACGCCTTCTACGATGCAGGTGAGGCAGATGCCCCCTCCGTCCTTCCCCAACGCCGCCTGCTTTTCTTCCCAAGGCACACGCCATGGCCCCGGCCACCCCGGCCAGCCAACCTTCCCCTAACTTAGACGCCAGCCTGCCCTGTCTTTCGGGAGGGGAGAGTAGGTAGCCTTATACCTTTTTACAGACAGGAAAACAGAAGCGACTGGCATTTAGCCTTGTTATTTTTTACGGGCTCCTTAGGTATCCGTTGACCCAACCAACAGCCCATAACCTAAATGACGCGGAGCCCTCCGCTCCACCTGTTATCTGGCTTTTAGTTCCTCGCTCCGGCCATGTCCTTATAGCACTGAGTGGGCCCCCAACCCTAGCCACATATTAGAATCACCTGGGGAACTTTTAAAACTCCCCATGCCCAGATGGTGCCCCAGACGAATACCAGAATCTGAAGCCTCGGTGGTTTTTAATGCTTTCCCCGGCTGATTCCATTTGGCAGCGGGGAGTGGGAATCCGTGTGTTACAGTTGTTTGTGTGTGTGTATGCGTAGGGAGAGGGGCCCTTAGAAATGCCCCGGGGTTCTTTTCAGTACTCTTAATTCCTGCCCCCCAAACACACTTTGACAGTGGGGCTGTGCTCTACCACGTGTGTAACGGGTTATATCTTATCCCACAATGCACAAGCATTTGGGGGCTCAGGGTCTCCTCCGTTGCTGGAATGAGACTCCAGATCTTTGAGCTCCGTGTAATAAGCACTGGGGTGACATTAAAAACCCTTGGCTATGGTGCAGTCATTACCTGGGAGTCCTTGTGCCTTGGCTTCTTGACTGATCAAAAGGTGGTCACGGCGCCTCCCCTACGCCTAAATTAAGCATGTGAGAAGGTGCAGGGAGAATTTCTTTAAGACACTGGATGCACCACGCTGAAGCGGTAAGCCAAGCGCGGTGCCGTCTGTCCTCTGCCGGAGGCAACAGGGACCTGTTTTCCGCAGAGCAGATCCTCCGGGCCTGGAACAGGGGCGGGGTGTCAGGCTTGTTCAAATAAAGCGGCTACTGAGCCCGTTGACAACACTCTCTTGACGTTTCTGACCGCTCAGAGTGTACTCTTGAGCACAGCGGCTTTTTAGAAACGTTGGGGAGCCCACTTCACCCAGAATCACTCCGTTTTCTTGACTGCTATTCATTCTGCTCCGAAATTGGAGTTTGAACAAGACTCTTGTCTGAAAGGTTCAGTGTTCCTTCAGCCATTCTGCCCAACCGTAGCCTCCCGGTGCCAGCTCTGAAGATGGGTGTGCAGCGGCTCTATTCCGCTAGGGTGGAGGGTGTGTGTGTCTGTGACAAGCCTTCGTCTACCAGCAGGACCCCTCTCTGGTTGGGTGTGAAAGTTAAGGCAGAAATCTTGGGCTTTCAGTTCCAGAGCTGTACAACAGGCACATCGCCTTTTCTTGGTCTGGGTCCAGATTGCCTAGAATTTTCTGCATCATGTACCTCCTTTGGTTGACCTTGGCTTCGTCTTTTTTTTTTTTTTTTAACTTTATTTATTTTGAGAGAGACAAAGACAGCATGAGGTGGGGGAGTAGCAGAGAGAGCGAGAAAACCAAGCAGGCTCCGAGATGTCAGCACAGACTCGGACGCAGGACTCGGTCTTAAAACCGTGACGTCATGACCTGAGCTGAAAAGAAGAATCAGACGCCCAACTGACTGAGCCACCTGGGTACCCCAGCCTTGGCTTGCTGTTGACTAAATCCTTTCTCAGTACATCAATGTAACTTATAAGTTACATAAATGTAACATATATAAATATGTACAGCAATAAATTCTTTTTATAGGTTTAACAAAGGATGTATGTAACTATAGTAAGTGGGTTTTGGATTAAACAGACAACCCCCTCACTCACCTCTCCTGGCTTCCTTATCTCTACCACTCAGACTTTTTGACATCGCCACCAAAAACCACACAAACCTGTCACTTTGGTGTCTTTGTAAAAGCTCTAAAAGCACGGTGCCCAACGTGTAGCCACTAGCCACAGGTGGCAGTATACATTTAAATGAGTTTAAATGCAGCAAAAGTCAGATCCTTGTTTATACCAGGTGTATTTCAAGTGCTCAACCGTGAAGAGACACCGTGAAGAGAGCATTTTCCTCATCACAGGAGGTCCCGTTGGACAGCGCTGTTCTAGAAAAATGTTTGGGGGCGGGAGGGGACCTATGGAGCTGTCCCAGATGTATTTTAGGGAGGCCGGTAGGTGTGAAGTGTGAGCACTTCCTGTCTCTTGTTCCCATAGCAAGGCGAAGCCGGGTTGGATCGTGTTTTCGTACTTCTCGTGTGGTTTGGTGTGGTCCCGTGTGGGTCTGGATCGGAGGCTCCAGGTCACCAGTGCCTGGGTGATTTGCTGGGATGTGAGGGAGCCCCAGGCAGGCCTTCGCCCCAGGCAAGGACAGGTGATGCTGTGGTGAAAAACACCGCCATGGCCACGAGTACTGTAAAAAACAAATAATAAGATCTATGTAACGTAAACTTTGCCACTTAATAACCATTTTTAAGTGTGCATTTCATTGGCATTAAGTACGTTCACGCTCTTAGGCAACGGTCCACAGAGATCTTTTGGACCAGCTCAAACAAAAACTCTGCTCCCCTTAAATAGCAACCTATCCTCCCCCACGCCTCCTAGCTCCTGGTAACCACCGTTCGACTTTCTGTCTCTGTGAATTGGCCTCTTCTAGAGATTTCATAGAACTGGAATCACACAGTATTTGTCTTTTTGTGTCTGGTTTATTTCACTTAGCATAATATCTTCAAGGTTCCTCTGTGCTTTAGCACGTATCAGAGTGTCTTTTAAGGCTAATGATTAAGCTCCTTTTAAGTGCCCGTTTATCTCCTTGAACTGAATTCGTAGGTGTGACGTTAGGTCACTTACTGTGTGTGTGCGGACTGTATTTACGTGGAGCGCCTTTTCTCCTCCTCAGGTGCGTGCTGTGTCTCCCTCAGAGAGGTTCTCCATGCTTGTGAGCTTATTAGAAACCAAGGGTTTGTTCAAGAAGGAAATCGGGGTAACTCTGTCTCCTGCTTTCCCCGCACATTCTGACATGGAAAGTCTATTCTCCCGGACTCTGTAGTTGAATCTGCTTACCGTGGTATCTGATCTTAAACTGATATCTGGTTCAGTCGAATACAATGCGTTCATCTCCTAGGAACGAACCGTATTATTGATGGAGGTTTACTCTCCAGGTGAACTTGGTGGTTAACGAGCAGTGAGTTAGCTAGCAACTGCTCGCATGGCAACAGCCCCTTTGATCGAGCCTGCCCGGGGCTGCAAGTTCTCTTCCCACTGCTGTTCGGTTTGGCTCTGCCTAACTTGGCTCCTGTTTGAACGTCATTTAGATGCCACTTTCCTGCCCCACAGGCCCTGCTTCTGACCGTTTTTTCTTCCGTTACTTTCTTGGTGACTTTATACATTGTGAGCTATTACCACCTACAGCAAGAAATCCTTGCACTTCCTGAACATCGATTCAGAAGGCCAAGGCCAAGGCTACAGTCTCCAGATGAGCTGGTTGGCTTTGCTCTATCCTGATGCCACCCCTTCTCTGGCTGGCTCGTACAGAGTCATTTGAAGGGTTTGTGGCAGAGATTGCTCAGTTACCACGGTTCATGCTCCTGGTTGTTGCTGGGAAGTGGGGCTACGTTTTCCAGCCCTTTGAGCCTTGGTGGGATGTACAGCTCATTCCGGCCAGTGAAATGGAATTATGAGTGGTGTCTGTCACTTCTGGGCCCACAGGTTAGCATAGCGAGTAGTCCTTCCCATACTTTGTCAACCCCTTCCTGTGGTCCCCTGGGGACCTTAGAGGCTCAGTGTATACGATGGCAGTGGCACACAATGGAAGGCCCCTGGATCCCCGAACCACTCTTTGAAGGATCACTCTTGGAGCTGGAATGTGTACTTCCAAGTTCGCATAAGCAAGAGAGAAGCTGTTATTTGGTCAGGCCACTAAGGCTACTGAGATCTGGTGTGGGTGGGGGGGGGGTGTTTGTTGCCGTGGTAAGAGTGCGACTTGGTTATGAAAATCCAGCCCAACTGCTGGGAAGCTGTCTCTGAGGTACGCCTTTCCAAAAGGAAGTCTGGCCACGTATCACCTCAAGGAATGGATCGTCCCTGTTCCTAATCGTGGGGCCCCACGCTGTGCTGCTGTGAGTGAAGAAAATAGAATTGAGGTGCTTGGACCATCAGGTTAATACCAGTGATGGGGGGACACAGTCTAGCCTTTTTCCTTGGTTTCACTGGTTTTGGAGTCCAGGTTATTTTTTCCTTTTGTAATAAATGATAACATAGTGATTCTGTTATTTTTTTAAAAAATTTTCAATGTTTTTTACTTATTTCTGGGAGAGAGAGAGACAGCGTGAGCAGGGGAGGGTCAGAGAGAGAGGGAGACACAGAATCCAAAACAGTCTCCAGGCTCTGAGCTGGCTGTCGGCACAGAGCCCGAGGCGGGGCTTGAACCCACAGACCGTGAGATCATGACCTGAGCTGAAGTCGAACGCTTAACCAACTGAGCCACCCAGGCGCCCCGTGATTCTGTTATTTTTTAGGCTGATGGTAATATTGTGCTTTCTGCCAAGAGAGGATATGTAATGGTTTAACGTAAGGCCCCTCTAGTTCTTTCGGCTGCCTTGGCATGGGTTACGTCTGGCCTCTCCGTGGGTGATGTTACTTGCGGATTCTTTGTCAGCTGATGATAAAGACCGTGCCCCCCAAGCTTCTGTGTGTCCTTCCACAACCACAATCCACACACATCTCCCTTGCAGTTAGCTTGGGGCCTTGTGATGAGTGCTGGCCTGTGAAACATGAGCAGCATCAGCACAGATGACTTCGAAAGAGAAGTTAGTGTGCCACCTCCATCTGTCTCGGCCTCTGTTACGGCAGACTCGAAGGTCATGTGTTCAAGGTGGGAACTGTCTCTTGTGGCAGCCTAGCTTGGGTTACCCCGACCAACCCAGTTTGCCGCGCCTTCTGCTAGAAGTGCCCGAATGC